TTAGCTAATCATGATTTTAGGGAATTTATTGTCCATTGATTAAATTAAATCTTCAATTATGAGCTGAAGTAATTTTTTATTTTGATGTTATTATTAGTGTTGTCTTTTGTGGGGAAACCCTAATTTTGTCTGCCACCATTGAAAGAAATTCCATTATTTTTGCTTAAAATTTGTGGGAATCAACGGAGGCATGAAAAGATAGAAGCAAATAAAATGGTTTGAATTATACTTCCCTGTTTCATACTATAATTAATCCTCGTATTAAAAATAGTTATTTTGATTTATTTGTCTGATTTATAAAAATAGTTTTTTGAGTATATCTTTTTCTTTCTATTTTTACCATAAAAATAACATAGTCGTCAAAGTTAGAGTTTCAAAGCATCATATAAGGTTTTTAGTTTGTGAATATACTCTTCTAACTAAAGCTATCTTAAGTGGTGTGTTAGGTCAACAAAGGATAATATGAAATAGAGAGAATAATTATTTAATACTGAGAGTAATATGAGAAAAAAAAAATTCTTTATTTATACTAAAATGAGCAAACTCTGTGGTGATCATAATATAATTAGTTCTCTCTAGTTCTTATTTTCTTCATGTTTGTTAATTAGTAGAGGTTTGATACTTCATTAGGATTTAGTAAGGTAAGACCTAGCTTTCCTTGCTTGTGCTTATCCGTGAGTTTTTTATTTTTATTTTTAATAAATGCCACAAGACACTGTCTAATGATATAAATTTATGAAAAAATATATATTTTTTAATATAAAAATAAAGTAAAATAAAACGGGTGAAGTATAACTGTTTTAAAGTGCAAGGACATGACATGACATGAATTCATAGCACTTTAGATCAAGTGGGTCACTAATTGTTTCACCTTCTATTTTAGCCCTTCAACACATTGGAGTTTCCACCATATCGAAGTTTTAATAAAATCTTCTCTTACATTGCTTCTATTAGGTGTCAATCACAAATGTCATTCAATTATATTTGAAAACTTAAAATATTTCCAAGGAATCTTTAATCTCCCACTAGTGTAAGCAAATTCCAAAATGGCACCAAGTGATACTACTATAGGTTAAAAATAATGTACAAATTAGTCGGGCATGATTAAACGCAAATAATTCAAGAGTAGATATGTAGAAAATTGAAGAGCAGTAATTGGGAAATTTTCTCGTTGTATTTCTCTGTACAGAATACATGTCCTTATATAAGACTGAAAAATAATAAATAAATTAAGATATTCTAAATACAAATATATTTGTCTAAATCCTATTGGTTGTCTATGTAACTTCTATAACAACTTTTATTCCTTTCTATGCTGGCATTGTGCTTCTCACGTGACTTGGTGGAAACTTTTAGGTTCCTTTGCGGTGGATGGTTAGGATTTAATCTCTTAAATGTATGGCTGCAATTAGATCTCTTCCATGATATAGCTTGATGATTGTGAGTCCAAATTCAGACCATGATACTTTTTCTTCTTCATCTCTAAAGATGGAGAAGATAAAATTGGAGCTTCTTTATCTGTAATTTCAACATCCCCCCTCAAGATGGAGGGGAGAGAAATGACACCCATTTTGCCAAGAATTCGATGATGAGCAGGCCCAGAAAGAGATTTAGTGAAAACATCGGCAAGTTGATCCTTGGAAGGAACGAAATGGAGAGAAATGAGGTCGGAAAGGTACTGTTGTTGGACGAAATGACAGTCGAGCTCCACGTGTTTCGTTCGTTCATGAAACACTGGATTTTTGGCAATATGAATCGCTGCTTGACTGTCTGAACGAATAGGGATCGGCAACAAAGGAGGAACAGACTGATCAGCAAGTAGACGAGTTAACCAAGTCAACTCGGCAACCAATCGACGCATCGATCGATACTCGGCTTTTGCAGATGACAAAGAGATAGAAGCTTGCTTTTTCGACTTCCAGGATACCGAAGAACCTCCCAAACAAATAAAAAACCCACTAATTGAACGGCGAGAGTCAGGGCAAGAAGCCAAATCCGCATCGCAAAAAGCAGAGATGATGAAAGAAGGAGAAGCTGATAAAAATATGCCTTGATTAGGTGATCCTCTCAGGTAACAAAGGACTCTTAAAGCAGCTGCAAAATGATTTTCAAAAGGTTGTTGCATAAACTGACTGAGGCTCAAAACAGCATAGCACAGATCTGGACGTGTGTGTGTCAAATAATTAAGCTTTCCAATAAGATGCCGATAAATTGTTGGATCTGACATAGGCTTTCCTGAATCTGCAGTTAATTTGCAAGAAGGATCCATTGGTGAAGACACAGGATGCAAATGAGAAATGTCAAACTCCTCAAGAAGATCTAAGGTATACTTCCGTTGACTGATTATGATCCCACTGTCTTCGCGCAAAATTTCCATTCCTAGGAAATAATGAAGCAAACCAAGATCTTTGATTTTGAACTCAACATGTAAGAAAGCTTTGAGACTTTGAATTTCTATTAAATCATTTCCTGTAATGAGAATGTCATCGACATACACGGCAACAATAGAAACCAAATCTCCTGTATGTTTAAAAAATAAAGAATAATCATTCAGAGATGCAGTATACCCCTTGAAATGCAAAGCACCAGCAAGCTTGACATACCACTGCCGGGAAGCTTGCTTGAGACCATATAAGGACTTTCTGAGTCGACAGACCATAGTAGAGTTAGATGGAGCTAAACCGGGGGGGAATTCATGTACACCTCCTCTTGCAAATCACCTTGCAAAAATGCGTTATTGACATAAAACTGTGATATAGGCCATTGTTTCTTAGCTGCAATAGATAGAAGACACCTGATCGTGGTCATTTTAACCACAGGGGAAAAAGTTTCATTGAAATCTATACCCTCTCGCTGGATGTCTCCTCTAATAACCAATCTTGCCTTTAGTCGCTCAATGGAACCATCTGCACGATGTTTTACCTTGTATACCCACTTACAAGGTAATGCCCTTCTATTTGAGGGAAGGTGAACCACATCCCATGTGTGGTTTGATCTCAGAGCTGCTATCTCCTCTTGCATAGCTTTGGACCAACCTGGATGAAGAGAAGCTTGATAGTAACTGTTAGGTTCTGTGATATGGGAAACTGACTCTAGTAAGAGATGATTAGATGATGAAATCCCAGTAGGAGATAGACCAGTAGAGGTGATAGGGGCAGCAAAACATGATTCGAACACAGGAGTAAGAAAGATATTGTTGCAAAAATAATCCTAAAAATGAACAGGTAAAGTCCCTTTAGTCGATCTTTCTGATCTTCTTAAAGGGAGAGAACCAGTGGGCAAATTAGAATCAGTTACAAGAAATGTTTGAGGAGAAGGACAGTTTGGAGGTGAAGAGGAAGAATCTGGAGAATCTGAAGAGAAGGACTCTGGAGGAGGAATGTTAAGAACTGAAACATCAAAGGATGAATCAGTGACAGTAGAATACTGTGTATCAGGAGATGGAGTAGAGAAAATTGAAGTAGAATTAGGAGAAGTAACAGTGAAAGGAAATATAGCCTCAAAGAAAGAAACATCTCTGGATATGACTATTTTATGGCTATCCAATTCTAAGATTTTGTAACCCTTTTGATTTGAAGGATATCCAAGGAAAACACAGGCCTTAGCTCTTGGTTCAAATTTGCCCCTTCCATGAGAAATAGTACTAGCATAACATAAGCAACCAAAACACTTTAAAATGTCATAATTTGGTGTTTTCCCATGAAGTATTTGATAAGGTGTGTTTCCATGAAGCACTCTAGAAGGTAATCTATTTATTAGAAAAGTAGCAGTAAGGATGCACTCCCCCCAATAGGTTAAAGGAACCTGAGATTGAAACAAAAGAGCCCTAGCTATTTCAAGTAAATGTCTATGCTTTCTTTCAACAACGCCATTTTGTTGAGGGGTAGCAACACATGAAGTTTCATGCTAAATACCTTGTGAGTTGAAAAAATTGATGGCTACAATACTTTTGCCCAACTCCATTGCATTGTCTGATCTTATCCTCTTCACTTTAAGATTGAATTGCCTTTCTACCATATAAAAGAAGTTTTGTAAAACTGAAAAAACATTGTTTTTGGTGCTTAAGAGGTAAGTCCATGTTCCTCTACTATAGTCATCTACTATGGTAAGGAAGTATTTATAATTATCATGTGTAGATACTTTGTAGGGTCCCCAAGTATCTATATGAGTAAGATCAAAAAGTGACTTAGTTGATATATGACTGATAGGGAAAGTTGGTCTTGACTGCCTTGCCTTAGGACAAATGTCACAAAAACAATCAGAATTAGAAGGAATTGAAATGAAACTGACATTCTTCATTGATGAGAAAGGTAGATGGCCCAATCTGATGTGCCATAACTTTACATTAGGTGTAGTACTACTACAATTTGGTAAAGAAAAAGAACTAGCATTACTGAAACAGGGAAAGGAAGCTGAAGAACTATTAGAAACTATAGAAGGTAAAACAGCTTTGTTCTTGCTGAAATTGAAAACAGACTCTTTGACTTTAGGCTTGAGCAGATATAGACCTTCTGAAACTTCACCAAAAACTTGAAGCCTCCTCATTGAAAGGCCCTGCAACACAAAATGATTAAGAGTAAAGAGCAGTGTGCAAGAAAATTGACTGCAAAATTTATGCACAGACATAAGATTATATTTGAAACTAGGAACGTACAACACATTTTCTAAAATGAGATCAGAAAACAGAGATACAGTCCCAATATGAGTGACAAGAATAGTTTGACAATTAGGAAGATTAATAGTCAAGGGAGGAGTAAGAGAAGATAATGATCTGAAAGAAGTTGAATCAAAACACATATGTTCAGAAGCACCTAAATCTATGATCCAGGTGCTGGAGTTAGTCACAGAAAAACATGAACCAAGATATTTAATAATCGTACCAGCTACTGCATTAGCATTGATCTCCATCCCTGAATTGGTACCCTCTTCCATCTTCATGTGTTTGAACATCTTCACAAACTGATTGTATTGTTCCTGGGAGTAATTTTGATTTGAAATATCTATCCAAAATTTTGTTTGTTGTCTGTTTCTTCCATAGTCATGACTCCATTTCCCCTAATTTGATCTCCATTTCCCTTTACCTGATTATTGAAACCCTTCTCATGTGTAAACTGAAAATCATCTGGAAAACCAATGAGTCTGAAACAGTTAAGTTCCACATGTCCAGTTTTCCCACAATAAGTGCAGGTGACATTGGGGTTGTATTTTGTTTTCTTGCCTTTGAATTTTGGATTCTGGTTCTGTTTGGGAAATCCTTGTAGCTGTGTCTGTTGAGATCCAGTAGGTGCAGGTCTGGGGTAAACATTTCCAAATTTGCTTGAAGAAGCCATAAATCTCTGACCCTGTTTAGAGACTCTATATTGATGTGAATTTCCAACCATAAAGGCAGATGAATCAGGATTGACAGTAGAATTTACATAAGATTCTCTTTGATTTTCATCCTACAGAATCAAAGAATATGCAAGATTAATATCAGGCAAAGGATTGATCATCAATATATTACCCCTAGCTTGTGAATAAGTGTCATTCAATCCCATAAAGAATTGCATGAGTCTCTCATCTCCCAAAGATTTCTGTAACTTTTGTTTCCCTTCACATATGCACACACAGTTGCACTTGACATTAGTATTAAGGGAATCCAGTTCATCCCATAGTCTTTTCAATTTGGTGAAGTATCCTGCAATGTTAGATGTGCCTTGAATTAACTTGTTGAGCTCCTTTTGCAGGTGATACAACTTCGCACCATTAGACTGACCAAATCTGTGTTCCAAGCTCATCCATAGCTCTCTCACAGTTCTCGAGTAAATCACATTGTCTGCGATTTTCTTTGACAATGAATTCAAGATCCACGAGGTCACCATGTCATTGCATCTATTCCAAGCCTACAGATCTGGAGAATCATCAGCTGGTATTGGTTGTGCTCCGATGATAAATCCCAGCTTGTTTTTAGCTGACAAGGCAATAAGAACACATCTCTTCCAGCCTTGATAACCCTTTCCATCAAAAGGGTTATTCACGATAGTCATACCAGGTGCATCAGAAGCATAAAGATGATAAGGGTGATTGTGATCAATCACTGATGTGTTACTAGTGATTGTTTGGGTGGTAGTGACTGTGGCAGTTGTTTCTTCTGTCATTGCTCAAACGAGATTTAGGGTTGATCAATTGATTTGCTGCTCTGATACCATGTAGAAAATTGAAGAGCAGTAATTGAGAAATTTTCTCGTTGTATTTCTCTGTACAGAATACATGTCCTTATATAAGATTGAAAAATAATAAATAAATTAAGATATTCTAAATACAAATATATTTGTCTAAATCCTATTGGTTGTCTATGTAACTTCTATAACAACTTTTATTCCTTTCTATGCTGGCATTGTGCTTCTCACGTGACTTGGTGGAAACTTCTAGGTTCCTTTGCGGTGGATGGTTAGGATTTAATCTCTTAAATGTATGGCTGCAATTAGATCTCTTCTATGATATAGCTTGATGATTGTGAGTCTAAATTCAGACCATGATACTTTTTCTTCTTCATCTCTAAAGATGGAGAAGATAAAATTGGAGCTTCTTTATCTGTAATTTCAACTAGCTTGATCATTTCCACTAAATTTAATATAATTAATAACGAATGCAATGATATATGGTTTAGCTCATGAAACTTAATCTAAACCCCATAAAACATACTTTTTCCGTTCATCTTTTACTTGTCAAGTTTAAAAAATAAAGAGATAATTTATCGCTTTGTATATGTTTTTATCTTTGCTATTAAATACTATTCATTTTTTTAATATTTAAATGTCTTATAATTAATAAGGGTGATAAAGTAAAACTACTTATTTATTTATTTATTATTTCTTAAAGTTTGTGTCAAATCAAACTTGACAGGTAAAAATAGACGAAAAAACTAATAGAATTTTCGTCCCTCAAATATTAGTAGTAAACAGTCTTCTCTCTCTATACTTATCGAATAAGTCTCACATCCGCAATTCAAAGAAATGAATGATCTTTCTAATATGATCACTAATCCTCGCCTTTTAAATAGCTTTAATTAAGATTGACTCTAAAATTCATTTCTTTTAATACTATCCTAGACTTTATAAACAAGTGTCCAGACACATACCTGTACATGGCCCTAGCTAGAAATTAATGAATTAAAAGTTATACTGTATCAGTTTTTCTTCTGTGGCAACACTATACTGAACTAGAATTAAAAAATTAAAGTTATTGGAGATCAAAATAAAAAGAAGGAATTGGAGCAAAATAATGTGTTGTTTGCCACTAGAAAGTTAAAAGTGAGGTTTAATTAGATTGATGAAATTAATTAAAGAGAGAATTTTATGAAGCAAAGGAAATCATATTAATTAGGTCATTAGGTGGCAGACAACATATATCCCATATGGCAATTCTTAACAGCTTGACACACATCCGCTATTACAGTAGTATGATTAAAGGCAAGCATAATTGAAAAGAAACTTCCCCAAAGAAGCATGGACAAAAGAAATATGGCAGCAAAATTATTCAAGGGATGGCATTATCAATGCATTAATATATTGGACTTGAATTAGACCAACTACAAGAATGTTTGTCTCTTAACCCCTTTGAACGGCCACATATGCAAATTTTCCTTTTATATCATTTTGATAAAGAAATATATCTTCGATATATATAATATAAAGTTAAAAATTAACTCACAATGATCGTTCAAGATCATATCAAGAGATAAATTACATCATTCTGACACCAATGTAGGACTCAATTCCGACACACGCCAAAAATTGGGTATCTAAGCGTGGAAAATTAAATTAAGATGGGGGATAACCATTAGATTAATACGAATTGAGATGAATCTGACTTTGGTACATGCCATAAAAAGATTAATATGCACAAATAGAATCTTTCAGTGTCACTGTTTATATTTTAACTCCGTTAAAAAAGGTCTTGTGAAATTGTGTAACGACCCTCATGTCATTTTGTGATTTCTACTTTTTTTTTCTTTGTATGACCCTCATTATGTCCTTCTTTAGCTTTTATGACTTGCAAGGATGGGTGACACGATTTGTCGAAGTGATCAAATGCATTTCAGAAAAGATAATTAATTTTAAAAGTTTGATCAAAGTCAATATTTTGAATTAACAAGGCCGGATTTGAGTTTAGAAGATTTTACTAGGTCGAGATTGTGATTTATGACTTAGTTGGACGACTTGCATAAATTCTGAGGTGTTCAAGAGCAATTTAGACCTTTGAGTTGATTTTTAGATTGTAGAAAGTTTTGAGTTGATCACAATCAACATTTGATCAAAATGACCTCGGATCAGTGATTTGATGATTCAATTTTAACAGGCCTGAAACATATTTTATGATCAATTGACATTATTTGTTCCTATCATGAGTTTTGAGGGTCAATTTCGAGTTTTCGACTGTTAGGTCTCGACTGATGCTTGAGGTTCTGGTGCGACCACATCTGCGCTTCTAATGCCATTTTTGTGGAGTTCCACTTTTGCAGAGTGGGGCAAGGCCATGGGAGTCCACGAATTCAACTCATTGTTCATAGTTCAATTATGGGAGTTTGGGAGCTCAATTTTGGATAATTTCAAAGGGATTTGTTTAATTTGATCTTGGGGTAAGAATCTAACCCTATATATATTTGGTACTTTTTTGCTAATATGTCATCTATTTTCTAATTTAATCGCGTTAAGGTGTTGAAAGTTAGAATTTTTGGACCTAAAGTTAAGATGTCCTATTTTGACGAGTTTTGGGTCGATGTGAATTTGGTTTTTGATAAAATTTCATATTTGAGACCCTTTTATTATGGGTAGATTGATTCTGAAACAAAATTTCAGTTTTGACCTGAAAGTAGACTTTTTGACTCAAATTTCGCATAAAATATTTATATAACAAAATGAATATCAATAGATCCCTATTATCATATAGAGTATGATTTTAATAGATTGAGAAACTCCTATTTGAGAAAATTAGTAGTCTAAGGACATTGTGATGAAAGCATGAACTAGAGATAGATATTGATGATGATCCATATCAGGCTAAAGAGATGATCCATCTCAGACATCATGTGAATTTGTTGCTACACTAGTATTACAGGACACCATGTTCTATATTTAGAGCTTTCTTGAGGGTGCTAATAGTTTTGCAACTAACTACATCTCAGGGTTCTCAATCAATTTTTGTTATGTCTCTTTGTATGGATACTTCACCACTATTTGATCTTTCTGTCTATTGTGGCTAGGACAATATGTCTTTAAAGGAGTAGGGGATGCATGTTTGATCATGTTAAAGAGATCTAGATGATTTATCATTAGTTCTATGGAGGCAACGACAAGAGATCTCACAAGATTAGTAGCTTCAGTGGTACTTCATCTAGAGGAAAATATGTTCATGATTTTTTTATATATATATATAAAATTACTTTTAAATATACAAAGGTGAATTTTTCTTCGAACGGATGAATAAAAAAATTGTGACACTTAAGTGCAACAGATCGGAAGATACATTTATATCATTACATGTTAAATAATCTAATAGATTACTTGCACACTATGTGTGGGTTCAAATTATTATATTTGTATAGTACAATAGGAATCATGGGGTGATTGTTTTAGTTGTTATTTTATTATACTTATATTTGTCTACCCATAGTTTGTATTATAAAACAAATTTTCATGAAAAATCATGATGACATTTCCTCATCATTTCAGTTTGGAAAAGTATACTTCCTCATTTTAAAAATTACTGTGCCCTTGTCTCTTTTCAATATTGTTGAGGAACATAGAAAAGATCTTTCCAATACCGTATATATTATTAATATTATTATTATTATTCAATCTGCAATAATTCTTACTACATAAGCAGTCGTGTCAGAATAATTTTTATCAATACTACAAATTAAATTAAACTAAATTAAATTGTAATCGTCAGATTACACTTTACTTAAAAGAAAATATTTGGTAGATGAGATGCTTATTTAAAATATAGTTTAAATTGCTAATATGTACGTTCATAAATGTCCTAAGAAATATATATATGACATAGCCAACCCCACTGAGAGAAATAAAATTTGTTGAACACTGAGCTTATAATATACTCCACTTGTTTCAATTTATGTGACTTACTTTCCTTTTTAGCCAGTCTAAAAAAGAATGACATATTTCTATATTAAGTAACAATTTAACTATAAAATGTCTATTTTACCCTTAATGAAATGATTTACAGTCACACAAATTTCTATCATTTATTTTGGACCACAAGTTTTAAAAGTATTTCTTTCTTTCTTAAATTATGTGTCGAGTCAAACTACCTTACACAAGATGGACAGAGGGGTATATAATTAAAAGAAAACAAAGATTGATGGCATATTCCTATAAAGGTTTTTCTCTTTCTTTCCGGATTTTTACACTTGTCCTTGTTACATAAAGAATAAAATAAGTTTATGCTAATAATTGTTGTATAAAAGTTTGTAATTTTCCACATCTAAGACAAGGGAATTAAAAAGTATCTTTTTGTTCAAGCTTACTAGCATTTTAAAAAAAGATTAATGTAAGATTAAAAAAAAAAACAAATTGTGTGTCACTAGGAAACAAGAAAGTACACGTTTGTTCTTTGGATTCTATTACCTTGAACTCTTGAAGCATCCAACGTCCAATTTTATTTTTTAAAATAGTTCTTTTGTAATGTATTATTCAAATCAAATACGAGTACATCGGTAATGCTATTCTATCGTATCATATATAAAAATAGATGTTCTAGCAAAATAAGGAGTAACCTAATTCACTGACTTCTTAACAACCGACAAAAAAAAAGAATGCAACTTTTTGATAAAAGTTTTACAATAAAAACTAAAGAATTAAAATAAGAGTAATTCACCAAAATTTTCTTCTAGAGCTTACTTTACAAGTAAGATATCAATTTCCACAATCAATCTTATTCTACTGAATCGTTCCTTTAGCCAAATATGATCTCAGCAGATGGCAGAGCTACCAACACGGTCAAAAAATATAGTTTTATCAGCAGTAAATTGACGGAAGTGATCACGTAGCATCATGCCTATTCCTGCCAAATCGATATGAATATCGTAAGAAACATCAATATGACATTTAATTATGTCAAGCAAAAGTTGTTCTCATCTAGTAATCATATTAGTTGTAGCAACAACATACATCTAGGCTCCTAAATTGGCACTCCTTCATTCCTTCAACTCCTTCTCCGCACAGTGCAATGTGGCAGTGAGCACATTTTATTTATTATTTCAATATAAATTATTTCTAGCTTCCCACCAACTCCACAAAATCATGTTTGCTTTCTTCATTTTTATTTTCGTATTACTCTTTGCTCTTTAAACCACGCCACAAAATCTTTACTATACTGTATATTTGAAATTAAAATGTAAAAATCGATTGCTATATATAGTTTGTGTAGATACTAATATATATAATTGTGCTAATTTAATCATATATATGAAAAGATTAAATGGAAGTAAAAGCTATATCAATGCCTAAGTGCGTTGAATTTTAAATACGGGTGGGTGACGATGCTTTTCTTCGGTGGATGGCCACCATACTATCAAACAAACACAAAATGCTATCATTGTTCCTTGTATTTATATTAAAAATAGAATAACCCCCTCCCCCCCCCCCCCCCCCCCCCCACGTAACTTAAAATTTAGATTTCATTTAACAAGTATATATTAATTAATAAATTTAAAATAACAAGTTTTCTGTTATGATATGTTAATTGCATCAATTATATAAAACAAATTATTACACTTTCAGGTCAAGGAGAAAAATACAAGCACACGTGTCTTATCACGTGCTTCCAAGCTAATATGTGCATTACTTTTTTGATTTCTTGGAAATTATGGTATATAAAACCGAAATATCCTAATTTACCTAGCAGGCTAGTACTATTGAAATTTCGAGAGATAATTAAAGAAAAAAGTGTGAATGAAATTTTGGGAAAAGGATCATATAATATGTCATTGAAATTTGAGAAAAGGCTTATTTGTGTCATCCATTAAAAGTTTGGCTTATCTATGTCATTTTCGTTTGAGAAAAGGCTCATCCACGCCATTATTTGTTAATAGAAAACAGTTCCGATGCCGCTAATTAATGACGTGGCCGAAGCATAATTGACCACGTGTAAAAAATAATTTTACAAAATCAGAACTATTTTCCGTTAACAAATAATGGCATGGATGAGCCTTTTCTCAAAGGAAAATAACATATATGAGCAAAATTTTTAATGGATGACATAAATGAGCCTTTTCTCAATGTTAAATAGCATATTTGAGTTTTTTATATAACTTTTAAATATTTTAAATTATTAATTATTATAATTTACAATACTTCTTACAATACAATTTGAGTTACGATTTTTATATTTGAACTCCCGATAAACTTTAAAAGTTTGAATCTTGAAATTCTTGTGATGACATATAAATTTAGACGGATGGAGTATATACATAATAAATTGTATTAATAATTTGTAATCATAACGTAAGCATGTCTTTTAGTATGATGGAATTCCACCTATGAAGATTCTAATTGAACTTACCTATAAATAATCTACACATCTAACTTAATATTTCTTACTACACTCTCAAATTCTCTCTAATAATATTCTTCACATCCATGGCTTCTTTTGCCTCTTCAACAACCAAAATTTACTGTAATAAGATCCTTGCTGACATGTTTGATCATGGCAAACATGAATCTTATTTTGGATCAAAGTTGAAAAACAAGAAAAAATTGGACTTGAAATTAGTTACAAAGGTTGCTAGTCAATTGCCCGTAATAGTTCCACCACCAGATCAAGAGGTGATTAATAAGGAGAAGAAGCTCGCAGCATGGACTAGCGTACGCCAAGAAAGATGGGAAGGAGAACTCATCGTTGAAGGCGAGTTACCATTGTGGCTGGTATGTTATTGTTAGTGTATATAAGTTAAATATGAACGTGTTTAGTGTTTAATTTTTGGAATCACTTGTTATAATTTTTTTCACCAAAAGTATTGAGATCAAAGATGCATGTGTACCTAAGACATTTTTCTCTGATTAAATTTACATATTGAAAACAAAGGTTTCTGAACTTAATTATTCTGCTATTTAGTACACTACAATAGAAACAAAGATTTTCCTCACTAGCTAATCACTCGGGAAATTTATGTTATAAAATATGATTTTCTGACTCATTTTCCATCGAATTAGCTTACTGAAAAAATGTGTGATGAAAAACAAATGTTCACTAAAATACTAAGATACTCTCTAGTTTTTCTACATAAAAACATTACTATTTTTCTTTTTTCTAATCGATTCAATCCGAAAAATCGATGAAAATAGTCACTGAATATGTTTCAGATAAGAAAATAATGATTTCTTTAATAGTGGTATGAACACTTGTCAAGAAGCTAATTAATAAGAATAATAATGTTCTTAGCAATCTTGTAATGATCTCACCACGTTCAACAAAGGATATTCTCTTCTTTCAAGATGATAAAGAATGTTATAGTATTAAAACGACAAAATATTTAAGATTTGAGAAGATGAAAAAAAAAAATCAATCTCTTTCCTTTAATTTTTATATATATATATATATATATATATATATATATATATATATATTTTGGAAAAATAAAATATTCATTTATCTTTTGTCTTGATTATTAATAATAATAAGACGTACATCAGCTTAACCTCATTCCACATCATGTCACATTCATTCTAAGTCCAAATCTCAGCACATAAAATTATTGTATTTACTCATTATAAAAAAAAAACAAATAAATAGTTTATTATTTTCTTGTCTATGTAGAATGGCACGTACCTAAGAAATGGTCCAGGACAATGGCACATAGGTGACTACAATTTTCGTCACCTTTTCGATGGCTACGCTACCTTAGTCCGTCTTCATTTCGAAAACGGACGATTAATAATGGGTCATAGACAAATCGAATCGGACGCATATAAAGCAGCAAAAAGCAGTAACAAAATATGTTACCGAGAATTTTCAGAAGTACCTAAGGCAGACAATTTCTTATCCTACATAGGTGACATGGCCAAATTACTCTCCGGGGCATCCCTAACCGATAATGCCAACACTGGAGTCGTTAAACTCGGAGATGGACGAGTAGTCTGCTTAACTGAGACAATAAAAGGTTCAATTGTAATTGATCCGAATACACTTGATACAATTGGGAAATTTGAATATAGTGACTCGTTAGGCGGATTAATTCATTCAGCTCATCCAGTTGTTACAGATAGGGAGTTTATAACGTTGATTCCGGATTTAATTAACCCGGGATATTTGGTGGTGAGAATGGAGGCAGGGACAAATGAGAGGAAGTATATAGGAAGAGTGAGTTGTAGAGGAGGACCAGCACCAGGATGGGTTCATTCGTTTCCTGTTACAGAAAATTATGTTATTGTGCCTGAGATGTCACTAAGGTATTGTGCACAAAATTTGTTGAAGGCTGAGCCAACACCACTCTATAAGTTTGAGTGGCATCCTGATTCTAAAGCATTTGTGCATGTTATGTGTAAAGCCAGTGGCAACATTGTAAGTCATTTCTTTCTCATCACTATGATCAATTGATCTAAAAATTACCTGACTATTCTCTTCTTTATTGTTTTCAGTGTCGTTTCTTCACTATTGTTGTATTTATCTGTTTATATACTTGATTTTTGATATGTTTTATTTGAAATGAGTGTCTATTGGGAAACCACCTCTCTACCTTCTCAAGATAAGGGTAAGGTTACGTACACACTAGTGGCGTAGGAAGGGTGGTCAATTATTAAACACCTTTTTGTTCAAAAATTATACTATGTCTATCGAAAATTATAGGAGGAAGCATATAGGACAAAAATGATTTTTCATATGTATAAGTTAATTTTTTAACGAAATTTCTGAGTTCGCCAGTGATACATGCCACCTCTTGTAGGATTAAACTGGGGCATGTTGTTATTATTGGGTAATCAAAAATTAATTTAAAGAACGCTAGCTACAAAAGAATTACTACATGTTATTAGTACTCTAATTAATTGTAATATGTAATTTTTCTCTTTATGATATATAGTAATCTAATTCTGAGATCCTATAGTTTGATTTTCTTTTATTAATTTAAAATTGAAAAGGTTGCGAGTGTAGAAGTGCCATTATACGTGACATTCCACTTCATCAATGGATACGAGGAAAAAGACGAAGATGGGAGAGTTACTGCTGTTATTGCAGATTGCTGTGAGCATAGCGCCGACACCACCATCCTTGATAAGCTCCGCCTTGAGAATCTTCGCTCCTTCAACGGCAAGGATGTCTTGCCCGATGCAAGGTACAGTATTACATCACTTCAAAAATAACCTAATATTATTTTATCTTCACACAACTATATATATCCTGAGATAAATTAATCTCTACATATTTAGACATTAATAATGGTGTTTGGTGATAGGGTTGGAAGATTCAGAATACCATTAGATGGAAGTCCATATGGAGAATTAGAAGCAGCATTGGACCCAAATGAACATGGAAAAGGAATGGATATGTGCAGTATTAATCCTGCTTATTTAGGCAAGAAATACAGATATGCTTATGCTTGTGGTGCTAAGAGGCCTTGTAATTTCCCCAACACCCTCACCAAGGTCAGCTTCTTTTTTTTCCTACAATTGTTATTGTTTCATGATCAATTAATTATAACTGACAATATTTTGCAGATTGATTTGTTTGATAAAAAGGCAAAGAATTGGTATGATGAAGGTGCTGTGCCTTCTGAACCATTCTTTGTGGCTCGACCCGGTGCAACCGAGGAAGATGATGGTAATTAATTTACCAATGTTATTTGGCCCTGTTCTGACGCATCTCTAGTGAATGATAATGCAAGACTAATAATAAAACAAAGAACAAGTAATTGGAGCAACATCTTAACAAGGTATAACATTTTTGAACTATATATGCAGGTGTTGTAATCTCAATGATCAGTGACAAGAATGGAGAAGGATATGCTCTAATACTGGATGGATCAACATTTGAAGAAATTGCAAGAGCAAAATTTCCTTATGGTCTCCCCTATGGGCTACATGGTTGTTGGGTTCCAAAGATATAGTATCACCCCACACATCCACGACAGTGTTATATCATAGCCTAATACAATTTACTAGTCATAATAAGATGATAGTACTAATATTGAAATAGCTAATATTGTAGTAATTTGTGCATATTTGCTCTTAGTAATAGAATGTGTGTACCCATATTAATAGTAAGTATATATATGAATGAATGCATATGCTCTAAAATGAGTATTCATAAGTAACTGACATGAGAGATCTTTGTTAAAACATGAATGTTCCTTAGTAGTCAATGAAGTTAGTGGAAAGACGAGGGTTGAAATCCAAAACATTAGGTGATTTCTTCTCATATACCCAAATCTCAGTAGACAAAATGTCCTGATAACTGAAAAGGTGAAAGACACAGTCAAGGTGCACCTAAGTTGACCTTGATGTCACCTTTATACAAAAAAAAATTGCCTTCTGGAATTGAGGAGTTGCAATCACTTATGGTATTGTATCAGATTGAAGTATTCAAACTATCATTATCCACTAAGCCAGCATCAGTTCGAGTTGTTCTCCCGATTGAAGTAATAGGAACTGACATGTTAATGCACTAAACCAGATGCTTCAAAACTTGCATTTCTAATACACATATGAGATCAACAAGAAACCCCATCTCTAGAAACAAGTTCCCAAAAGGAGATTCAGTAACATATTACATACTTCTGCAGCAGAAATTGGAAATAGGGATACTAACTTTAACTATAACATAGAATCATTAGTCTTTCTGACAAGTCCATGTGAAGAAACAAGAACTTCGGTAGATTCAATTGATCAAGTCAAACATATACAAATAATCTCACTTTACTAACTCAAGCTAAAGACGTTACAATGAGATTCATCATGCTAGCTGTTAAAGAGAAACAACAGTATTTTATTGCCAATATAACTTACAACTTCAGATTGTAAATTTAAAGCACATTCATTTTACAAACAAAAGGGAGGCAATATTATTGGGTTACCAATGCATCTAAAGATTCCATCTATCAGTTGAAAGATCAAACCCTACGATAAAATTGGGCCAAACAGCAATGTGTTCCTAAGATGAGACGATCTGTAGATTCTTTGTAGAAGTAAAACAGCTAGATGACGCCGTATATGATTGACTACAGGACTCTAATGAGCTGAATGTCGTTATCATTCTTCAATAGCTTCAACAACCAGCTGTTAGGTGTTCATGCCACTGTTAAGTGGAATAATAACCTAATACTTTTGATCTGTATACACAGCATCAACATCATCAAGTTCAAGTAATTTGGACATTAGTTCTTTGTTCAACTCCATAGCCTCATCATCTACCTGCAGCCCAAAACCAAAGTACTAACTACAACAAACATAAATATGTGTACTAATAATTGGAAAGATCAAATTCAGCTGTTAACATAAACTGATAGTTAAAGCATTTGAACTGCGCTAATTTAAACTGAAAAAAACAAGTTGTGGATAAAACGTCCATGTAGTAATAAACCTAGAAAGAAGCTAAAGTAGATGACCTTCAAAAGTTTGTAAGACAGCAGAGAAAAGAATGAACTACTCTATTTATAGCTGATCAATTGCTTGCACATACGTCCATCAGTCTCAAATGATGAAAACCAGCCAACCCAAGCCAAATACTTCATGGGCTCAGGTTGGCTTGACTAAAATCACTCTAGACTTGAGGTATGCTTGAGCTCAACCAATACTGATAAGGGAACTACTAATCTTCTACCTTAATCCTCGACTTCCATATCCTTCTATAGTCCTATCTAGAATTATGTCCTCAGTAAGCTGCAGGTGTGCCTTATCCTGTCTTATCCCCATGGGGATTTCTCAATTATGAAAAATTGATCGTTTGAATTATATGACTTGCTCCACATAGGCTTTAATGTTCTCTTTGTTTTTCTTTTTTTTCTTCTGTTGCTCGAGTTCGTAACATCTATTTTTCTAGTAATGTTTTTTTTTATTTTGTTTTATTTGCTTCTGCTTCTTTTTCTTGTGCGTGGAATATGATTCCATTTGCGGTAATGTGGGTTGTTTGGAGAGAAAGAAATAGGAGAGCTTTTGAAGGTGTAGAGTCGAGTTTCTCTCAATTGAGGAGTAGTCTCTGTTCCCTAATTTTTTTTTTGGTACACACAGAAAGTTCCTTGTTGTATAGACGACTGGGTGGAGCTTGTAGAGAATCATATATTTTTGTAATTCTCCACTTTTTGCTATACCTCTTGTATATGGCTGTCGTGGCCATGTTTATTATCAAAAATACATTTACTTGATAAGAAAAAAAAGCAAATTTGAGACCTTCAATTTTTGGAGCTAAAACAATTGCTTTAGTTGTTGTACCCCTGATTCGTCCTTGTTGAATATTATAATCAAATCATGTCAAAACAACTGGACTAAAAACTTCTTTTCTTGTATAAGAACAAATTGATCTTGGATGTTGAAGTTTGAATGCTCACTACTAAATCTATGAGATTTTAGATATTCTTATGTTTTGTAATAAAGATTAGCCTTTTGAAGATTTGAGTTATCAGAAACGCAACGCTACATGGTATGAAAAAGCTCATAACCACATCAATTAGTGGACCATGCTATGATTATATTTACATTACAAAAGGTCAACGATTCACACATCAATTATTAGATTTCTTTTCTAATTTCATGGTTAAAACATATTATCTTATCAAAAGATCAAAGATTAAACAAGTGCTGTCAAATTAGAAGAATAAAATTTTGATATGCTGTACTCACAAACCTCAATTGGAGTAGTAGGAAGTAGCTCAGATCCGTTGTCAGGTTTAAATTTTATTCCTTCCTCTTGTAGTTTTGATAATATATCTGGATAGTTCTCCGCAGAAGACACGACTTTGTAAACCCTACTAAAGTAAACCAAATAAAAAGGAAAATAGTCAGATGTGCTGATATTAGTTCATCCAGCATGACATTAGTAGTTCATCAGCAGACAAGAGAAGGTTGTTTTAGTGGTAAGACTCCTCCACTTCCAACGAAGAGGTTGGAAGTTTGAGTCACCCATGGGGGAATGGAAAAACCACTATTGGCCCGTGGGAAGAGAAGGTTTTGGGGTGAGGTTTAGCAGATGAAAAGAATTCATCAGCAACCGTGAAATTGCAATTGAAATAACGTAGGTGTGCCAAAATCAAGGCTGCAGTAGACTTGGCAATAGCAGTAACGGGTTGTTGGAGTTTATTTTCAGCACTGAAAGAGAATCAACTTATGAAGAACACCCAGAGAGGTTTCTTTGACTACGTGTATATGCCTGAAAGAACCATAAAAGTAAACTCTGGGTCCAATTGCAAGAAACGAGAGAGCAGTATCCAACCAGAGAAACATACTCACTGCAGGATGAAGCAAATAAGAAGATAATCTTTGCCAATGGAATATTCTTCCTAAACTAACAGACTTTATTTATATGCAACCAAAACAGCCAGCATACGAACCTCTCAGATGAATCTGCTTCTGTATCATATTCATCCATTGAAGGTTCAATGATATCTTCAGCACCAGCATCTAAAGCAATTGTTAAGAGCTGGTCCCGGTCAACATCAGTGACTTTAACATTAGCAACCCGAGCACGTTGGAATTTGAACATAATGGATCCTGGATCTGCCATCTTCCCACCATTGTCCTTCACCACCTCTCGAACTGCTGCCACTGACCTGTTTACTTTATCTGTTAAGACCTCAATGATGATACCAACTCCACCATAACCATATACCTGAGTATAGAACAGGAGTTCATAGTTCACTGAATTGCAATAGTCAAGAGAGTTACCAAAAAGGTTAATGTGTAAAAATTGTTGCTTATTAGGTAACAAATGCATAGAAGTCTAAATGTTCAATACCTCATAGATCTTCTCGATAAAAGCTTCCTGTCCCTTTTCTGAAGCTCTCTTAACATTGCGGTCAACAATGTCTTTGGGTATATCAAGTTCCTTAACTTTCTCGATCAGAGCAGCGAGAGCCGTATTAGATATTGGACTGGGACCACCTTTCTTAACCCTGGTCATTCAGGAAACAGTACTCATTCAGAAATGCAAGGTAAGGTTGAGTACAATAGGCCCTTGTGGTTGGGCCCTTCTCGAGACCCTACGCATAGCACGAGCTTTAGTGCACCAAACTGCCACCTTTTTTTTTATATCATAACAATCACAAAAATAGACGTCTGGAAAAGGGTTCTAGCTGGCAACAAGATAACGCTCAAAAGTTCCAATGGGACGTTAAGACCTCAAATAGAAGAGAAAAATTCCATTCATTTCGATATTGATTTAGACGAATGACTATTTTTCATTTCCATAACTTACGCAGAAACAATTTCCTTCCCGATTTTTGAGTACAGCTTTGCCTTCTTAAGATCCTGAGCAGTCTGCATAAAAGAAACATTGACTTAAACAATATCCAAAGTGCTAGAACTGTGCTAACTCCTGTTGCTGGACAATCATTTGAATATAATGATACGATATACATTGTTGATCACCGTAATACATCAGTATTAGCTACTTAGTCCTTGATGAATTAAATTAATCGAGAAACACGACCACAATAATCACATATATTAAGAACACCTATAATATTGTGAAATACACGAAAAGAAGGTGTGCACCTTTATCTGCCATAGCAATGCACAATTAAAGACAAACTAGGCTGAGTCTTCCTCACCTTTGGCTTATGACGGCTGATACCTTATGGAAAAAAGTCTTAGCTTAACCCAGAAGAGGGGACCTAGCCTCATATTTATAGGCTTAAAAGCCTTAACCTAGTGTGCCTCCCCATTACAGGCTCACTAGTCTCCAACAGACCTACACTCTTTCCAGTCCACACCTATTACGTGAAATGATACAGGTTCTTGGCATTAGAGAATGTTAGATAGATTATGAACCTTATTAATCGTTCACGAGACGAGTAGTCCAGAATACTGAAATTACTTGTATCACGGTTAAATCTGAAACAAAGCATGTTTTTCAGCTGTGATTCTGTTTTGATTGTTGCGTATATGCACTACATTATTTTATTAAAAT